CCCCCCACATGAGTTCTTGCAGACTATTTGTTTGCTTCTGCCAGCACCTGGTTGCTTTCATTTAGACCTACTTTAAAAATTAGATCTGAGTTTTCTGGGACCACCTGTGTAGTAAGATTTAGGGCTGCAAATCTTCACAAAGGCCAAACTATTACTACAAATTCTGAGAGCTGAATGTTCTCCTGTCACTAAGGTTCAAGGCACGCAGACTTCGCATAGTATGTATTAGGGATGGGCTTCTATTTGACAGCACTCTTTGGATGCATTCCGAGATTTGCTAGGGTCACAAAAATTAAAATACAGTTGACTTGGTTTTTAAGTGACTTGTTTTCAAAATGAAAGCTGGTTTCTGGTTATATTCTGCTTCTTTAGGTTACTGGTTTCAATTTGGTCTTGGCTTGGCAGTACTCCTATTATTGTCACCTTTTAAAAAGAAAAGTTTTTCCCAGCATGTTTAGTTGCTTTTTTCAGGGTAATCATCCATACTGGTAGAAACAGAAATGCCTATCTACTCGCCATGGTGGTATTTTATAGTAATCAGAGTAAAGCATGTTCCATTTACCATTTTTCTATGGTATGTTGCCGTTTTTAATACTTTTGGAGTTAAAAATAAAGCAAGCATTATGTTTGGCAAAATCTACCATTTAGCTCATATTCGTTATTAAATATTTGACCACTGTAACAATGTGCCAGGAAGCCAACTAGTCACTGAGGGATGTAGCAGGACACAGACAAAATCCCTTTTCTTAGAGCTTACATTCTGGAGTGACACTGAGGAGGAAACAATGTTACATGTAAGGTGGCTAATATTGAATATGCCATGTTGCAACTCTATAATGGTGGTGCTGTTGGTATTTTATATAGAATAGTCACTCTAAGTTGCCATTTGAACAGAAACCTAACGATTAGGAAAGGTAGCCATATATGTGAGTTAAGATCATTCTAGGCAAGAGAAGTACAAGGGCAAACATCTTGTCCCAGGAGAGGCCCATGTGACTGAGCTGAGGGAATTGGGGAAGTCCTGGAGGCAGAGTAGAGATGGTGGGAAAAGTCAATACAGCCTGTAAATCGCTTTTAGTAGTATTTTGGCTATTACTCTGAGATGGGATACCATTAGGTTTGGAGCAAAGGATGGCATATGACATGATTTAAAAGGGTTATGCTGCGTGTTGTGTGGGGACAGATTGCTGCGAAGTAAAAAGCCGGACCCCCCAGGAAGCTATCGCAGTAATCGAAGATGGGGCTTTAGACCATTATGGCAGCAGAAACAGGTAAATTTCTGAATAAAATTTGAAAGAACTGGCAGGAGCGTGAGAAATCAAGGTTGATGCCTAGATTTTGGACCAGTGCAACGGAATGTCATTTATTGAGGCCCAGAACAGGTATGCTTGTGTACATGTCAGTGTGTAGATACCGTCCAGCTTTAGACACCATAAAGTTATCCTTTTAGGTAGCCAGGCAGGTTAACGAACAGTTCAGGAGAGATGGCTGGGAGGTCAGCAAATAACAGTGGTTAACTGGGTTCTTAAATAACTAGAGTATAAAAGTACTCATGCTGTTTGGCCTTATTTGACATTATTTAAGCTTGATATGGTAAATAAGGAATCAAGATAACATGGAGGGTCAGACAGTAAAATGTAAAAAAAATGTTATTTCATAAAATCATTTCCTACAATACAGAAAAAAATTAAAAGGGCTCAAGCTAAAAAAAAAAAATCATCCAGAAATAGCATACAACTTGGAGATAATTATCAGAAATACTGTGTACTAGTTAATTATAAATTCTTCAAAATGAGGCAAGTAGCAGTTATAGGGTAGCAGGAAATAATGCAAGTGGCTAATTGAGGGTCCTAAAGTAAACAAATTTTCAGCTAACTTCTATCTTCCTAGCCTGTCTAGAAAACTTTAGTTTTGATCTTTTAAGTTTCTCCAGAACCTTTTCTTTGGGGGGGG